ATCCGTAAAATGTGACATCACATTTTACAAGCCCCGCCCATGACCCTGAGTAAGCTGCACGCCATGTTTATCTTCATGCTAGAGCATTTAAAAGCAGCAGAAAAGTAAGAAATGTCTTCTTATTAGAGCTACAGAAATTATTAATTCAAGTGCAGTGAGTGATTTTCTGTTTTTATTTTATTGTTTGGGTCATATTATCAGCATAGACAGCAGTATATGTACTGTATATTACGCTGCTGTCACTTCATATACAGTACATATCTAATATAAACATATAAACAATTTCCCAGCAGTTTAACTTCACAGACATAATCGACTGTGTTTTTGTAACTTATGCATAACATAACAACATATTTTCCCTTTGGTCAAATTTGACTTTTACATCCAAATATTCAAAAGTATGTTATCTTACTGTTTACTCCACTACATTTAATAAAAAGTGTATATGTATATGAGGTCGGGGCGATCGGAAAACTACTGATATAAAATATGAGGGCTAAAATAATAATAATAATAATTTTAAAAAAACGTTAAAATGTAAAATGAACATTGTTTTCTAAAATTATGTAGCTTTATTTGGTATATTGCTCATTTGTACGTTGTTTGGATAAAAGAAAAAATATATTTAAATACATTTAATTAAGCATTTAGAAAATGTAGACATCTAATGCATTCACACATATACACACAGAAGAGCAGAACATAAATCTTTTTATCAACGGTTTTCTAATCATCTGATCTTTCAGTTTGATGCGGAGAAAAGTTCTATGACAGACAGAAACGCCATCTGAAAAATAAAATACAATAGCACACAATCAATAGGCAAATATTAGAACTGAACATGTTTCTGTGTCCCATTATCTATATTTTGTACACCTTCCATTCCAGAAAATATTTGTATTCATATATTTTATTTAAACATTTTTGGAGAAGTTACATCAGTGTGCAGACAATTTATTTGTTTTCTTTGCTTGTAATTGCCCCATTTTTGTTCTGCACCTGAGCCCTTTTTGGGTTTGTGGGATGTGCATGCCTTTTTTGAAATTTGCATTCATATATTTTGTCATTTTGCACGAAGACTAGCATAATATTTGATGGAACATTAAAAGCGTCGAAGCTTTCAACACCTAAACAACAACACACACAACCTTTATTATGTCCAAAATGAACAAATCATTTCTTAATTTGTTCCATCTTCACTTAAAAAACAACATTTACACATTAAAATGTGTCATTTCAAAAGGATCAACAGGATCCAGTACAAACAAACACAGCACAATATTAAATACTCTTACCTGAAATAAGCCAAAACCCGATTGAAATGTAGAATATTTTTGCTTTTGCGTATGAGGCCATTGCGTTTGCTCTTGCTTATGCTTCCTGTATGAGTTTTTCACTGCAGTACAGCGGTACAACTGGTCACCTTCTGTTTTCTATTTATATATTACCTGAGGGAAGAGGAAATGCTCTTAGATGTCATGCACCTTCGACGATAGCCAATTTTAAACTGATGCAAAAATGCATTCGACATTCGCATAATTGACACACTAACCCATTTGGTATTATAATGATATTTGTTCTAGAGGTGCACCATTTTTCTCCAGAGACTGCTTGCAGACCTAGAACCCAAAAGGAGAGATATGGGTGACCACATGATAGTTTAACAACCAAAAAGGAAACAGGAACTAATGACCATAAAAGGACAATAAGAAAACTACTGACGTTTCATCAGTGCCGCTCCCAATCCTTACACAGAGATTGATGGAAATGATGAGATTTATTAGGAGAAATGACTGAAAAGAGCACAATTTGAGAGAAAAAATACAGCATCTCAGATAGAATCAGATATATAATGAATGAATGAATGAGGCATTTATATAGCGCTTTCATTGTGTATTGCTGTACACTCAAAGTGTACACTCAAAAAAACATTTCACCTGTACAAAAACAGTCTGTTATGCTGCTTTATACTGCAAACTGGCATTTTGTTATCTTATTTTAACTTAATATAATTATCATAAACACACAAATAGTCTTACAGTTTGCTGCACTTTATGATTCCTCTAGATTTTTACCTAAAGTATAACGTCTAATGAATCAGAAGTCTCACACATT